AACTATTATACCCTAAGTAGCTGGTTGCTGTAACGTTATCCTTTTTTAAGAGTGGTTCGAATCCCCAGTAACATTGATTAAAGAAAATTATTATTTAAAAATTTATTTGTATTATTGTGTACAAAAGTGTTTAGCAAAAAGAAATACGACTACCGAGGGAAGGAAATGTAAAAATACCCTATTTTTTCCAGTTTTTTCAGTGAAATGCGCCATAGTTAAAAAAGTTGAAAACCGATTTTTTTCGCGCGACAAAGTCTCTTATGATTCGAATTTTTACATTTCCTTCCCTCAGTAGTCGTATTTCTTTTTGCTAAACACTTTTGTACACAATAATACAAATAAATTTTTAAATAATAATTTTCTTTAATCAATGTTACTGGGGATTCGAACCACTCTTAAAAAAGGATAACGTTACAGCAACCAGCTACTTAGGGTATAATAGTTGGGTTGAGGCACGTCTACCATAAAAATATAAATGATGTCGAATCGTGACAATTTCTATATGAAATCAGCATTAATTTATGCATTTTTTATTTTTCACGACCAAACTACGCAACGAAAAGATCTGAAAAGATTCTCTAATTTCGAGTACCGTCTTACGAACATGTGCGAATTTTTTCAGATTTCTGGCTAAACCTTTATTAAGAGAAATATGGCAAAACCGCTAAATCTGATTAACCCCCATAAGTACCCTCCGGATTGAGACAGAGGGTTGAAAATTGGCACAAGACGTTTGCTTTGGACACTCTATCGAATGGCTTATTGCAAGTTGAATTTCCTTCAAGAGCACATTTTACCATCTTATCCGGCTTTTTATTTCTTCATTGTTATTGCAACCTGCAACTTAAAAAACATTTTCCGTTGTAGTAGATTCCCTCTGCCCCATTCAATGTGCATACATCGACTATGTAAATTGTCGAATAAACAAAAAAAAGTGAAGTGCCTGGGTTTCGAACACACGGAGCTTCGAAGGCTCCGAGCCGAGCCTGGAAGACTTCGAACCTCGAGGAGAGGAGACCGTGATTTTCAGATGCGCTCGATTCACGCAATCAGCACCGAAGTTTCCGACCTTCTTTCCGAAGATGTCCGAAGACGGCCGAATTTAAAATTCGCTTCACTGACGCATCAGCACGCACACAAATTTCATCCACTCGGCTAAAAGTGTCGATTTAAGACGCGGCCGCGGACCGATGTTTATAATAAAAAATTATTGAATAAATGTCGAATTTCATATTAAATCTGTCTTGCGTTTAATTTCATTACCCTGTGTACTTCCTGACCTGCGGTTCTGCGAGTAAAATTTGTATTTTTATATAATCAAGTTACATATTGTTAAATTAGTAGAAACATCTCCCGACTTGACATAATTAACTTGCTCGTCCGTCCAAGCTACCGCGGCTATCACTCGAGCGAACGATTCCCATTCCCATTCGACATATATATATATTCCTATATCCCATCTTCATACTGCCTGGTACTGCCTATAATGTGTATATGCTACGGTGGACCTGGAGGTTCTTATCTCTGCTACGGTGGAACCGAACAGGGTAGATTTCTCCTAAAGGTTCTGCTACATGCTAAAGGTGGACCATCTTCCCCAGTTGGCCGCAAGGTGCAGCACTTTCGAAGCGGTCTTACGAGAGAACAAAGGCATGAGCACTCTCAGTTTCTCTCTGATTAAATCAAAATCTAGAAGTATCAATGCCAGATTGAGCATTGAAAAAGCAAGATATAGACTTGTTACACGTTTGAATTTTGTCTTCCTAGGGGAACCTAATACAAGCCTGAGCTGGCTCAATTTCATTGTTACTAGCTGTGAGATATTCGTTGTAACGACAAAAATTTTTAAGTAAATGATGCATGGCTTCCAGAGGGATAAGCAGTGCTGTGACCTGTTTTAGGATCGAATTTATAGTCGTTTCGCAATTTTCAGTTCTTAGTTCTCAGTTCTCAATTCTTAATCTCAGTTCTCAACTGCTTGTTGCATATCTGCGTATTTCGTGATACATGATTGATGAAAATGGAACATTATGACTGAGAACTGAGAAACGATTATAAATTCCAGCCATAAGGATTACCTTCAGATTTTCAAATTGACTGCTCAATACTGTTTCTCAAATTTCCATGATCGACCGAAGGTCATTATTATCTTACCAGTCATTCGAAGTCGTCATGTCACGAGATTCACCTTATATATAAGAAGTCCAACAACAACGACAATAACAATCATCAACAACCAGTATGGATGAAAATGAGAAATGAAGCTGGGAACGAACGACTGATAAACACAAATGCTTATATTCCTAGGACGTACATCGCGTGCAGAAGGCTACAACTTAAGAGAGGTATTATCCTTTCATTCTCTGGCAGATCCAATTTCCATTTCGCTATTTTCTCCCAACTTAATCGCGTTTTACTACATGCACGCGTTCGAGTTCACGATATTTTTCATCTTTACATCGTATATCTAGTCTAAGAAAAAACAACACGATCGAAGAAACGCGTCATAGCTCGGCTCGTCACAAGGCTTTCCACCGGCAAATAGCTACTAACGCGCGCGTTGCATTGCTTGAAAAATGAAATGACGCCTGAGCGATTATTACTCTCACTAGCTATTCACGCTCGATATCGATACTCTTTTGCTCCGGTTCTGATTTCCCGATTAACGTACAGGCTATTCTGAATAAAACTCAATTGTCATTTGAACTATCTACTTCATACATAGTAACATAGATAACTGGAAGCCCTAGACTACTAGGTTTTACATGGACGATGTTTCATTTCTTCTTCTTAGTTTTGTTGTCTTATTTAATCAAACGGTGGTAGCAGTAGTCTGACGATCGCGTACTGGCTACCTGTTGGTGGCAGTTATCGTCATCGATGCAGAGAGCAGGAACAGGATGGCAGTTAGGCTGAGAATCGTCATCATCAAGATAGTCCAGGTGGAACTCAATCCAGCAGAGCTGTTGGCAACTGTAACAAAAGATAAACAGAGTTAAAAGTTCATGATTTTAAATGTCACTTTGTGACGTATGTATTATTTATAATCTTATCAATGGGCATTTATGTTTCTAATTTCACTTTCTAGTCCTTTCTTGACAATTTTTTTGCAAAGCCAATATACTGTTTTGTATTAGCTTTTTGCACACATATTTTGTTTGAGTAGCCGGGAAAAAAATAAGTGAAACCACTGTATTACTTTAAACTTTGATTTATACACTGTATTTTTATTTGTCTGAATTCCTTGGACTGAACTGAATGTAAATATAATGATGAAATCTGAAAATAATGATAATTCAAAATGAGAATTTCTTAACTAGCGGTGTATCTATAAAAGAAACGAGGGTTTATTTACTATTCAGAAAATGAATAATCGCTCTCAATTTACTTGGAATATATGATTACTCAGACTAGCGGGTTTTCTCAGAGTCCGGATTGCGGGTTGCCTATCTTTCAGAATTGCGGGTTTACTGGGTTCTGAAAGATTTAACTGAACAGGCAGAATTTGGGGTTCATAAAGTTGTGCTTGTTGATTAGCTGGTTTTCTAAAAGGAAATCAACAAGCGCGGGTTCTACTTATAACTTTGTGTAAACTAAATGCGGAGAACACTCACTTATGAACATACAGCGTCACGTGAAACTCTTTTCACTCTCTATGTATCCCTTTGTGGTTCTTGAACAAAGAGGAGAAAATCATTCTATTCGAATTGTACGTTCGTATCGTTCGACTAGCGAAAGCGGACTGACTCTGCTCTGCCTTTTTACTACACAAAGCATGCATGCAAGTTCCGACTGGACCAAGTATGACCTCATGAGTTTAGGTCTTAGATGGTTGGATATACAGAACATCCGGTGATAAGATAGTCTTATACTCAGTAAGCGTTGAAATATTACATTGAATGTAATCTACTGAGTTTTATTCGTAGAAAATACAGGATTCTTACTTATGATTAAACACATTTTCCTACTATCGTGCGCAAAGTTCGAGTTTGCGCACTAAAATGCGTGCGCAAAGTACCACTTTCCCGCACGCTGAGAAGAGCGTGCAGAGTCGTCAATTTGTTCAAATATATCGCGCTTAGCCAAGAAATTTCTAATTGATTTTGTCTATCGTCTTATGTCTAAATGTTTAATCAATATTCATTCATTAACTGTCTAATTTCCATAACGGATTGTGCGTTAGTTCTGTTCATTGATATAATTTGATTTGTAGTGTTCTTGTGCGGTGGTTAAATAAAAAGAAAAGTTCAAGTTCAAAAGTGTGGGAATGTAAGGATGCATGAGTGTAAGGATGTGTGTGGCCACGTGTCGTCGGGAGGCGCGTGGAGGACCCGCGGAGGTCAGCGGAAGCGGATTATCGGCAACTATCCGAGCGGAGTCGATATTGTTTATAAAATGTTTCGAGCTCCGCGGATGGTGTCGATGATCAAGGGCCGCCGCGAGCCGTTGGGACTCCACGTGTCCGTTTGGCGGCAACGTTAGCGGTATGATAGGAAAATTGACGAATATGTGAAGAATGTGTGAGGAGTGTGTGGTGTGTGGTGTGTGAAATATAAGGGGCTGAATCCGAAGCTTGAGAGGTCAATCGTGAACCGAGCGAATCAGTGTGAAGACGTTGAATAAAGATTTTTGTTAAAAGTAGTAAACTCTGATCGTTTTCCCATCCAGTGGAAGGGATACCTTGAAATCCCCTTTCCCATAAAAGTATTATTCAAATATTAATTTCAAAAGAAAAATGTCGAAGACAATGAGTACTCATGCTAGTGGTAGTAAAGACGATGATGTGCCACCTGAAATGCTTGCAGCAGCAAAAGAAATCGCCTTCAATTCGTTGCCCAATATTTCCAAACGAAAATATACAATAGTATATAATGAATTCAAAAAGTGGCGTAGTACAAAAAATACAAATTCGTTCGCCGAAGCTGTGTTATTAGTATACTTCAACGAAATAGGTTCTAAGTTTGCTGCATCGACACTGTGGTCAAAGTATTCCATGCTGAAAGCGACAATCAAAGCGTATGATGGCATTGATATAAGTAAATATCCACAATTAATAGGATTTTTAAAGAAAAAGAATTCGGGATATAAGCCAAAAAAATCAAAAGTATTAACAACAGCTGACGTGTCGAAGTTTCTCGAAGAAGCACCCGATGCAGAATATCTTGGCATGAAGGTATTTATTTTATATGTGCATATGTATTAATTAATGTATAGTGACATTTTTTGTGAATTAAAAACTTGTAATCATTTCTTTTATAGGCATTACTGGTTATAGGACTTTCTGGTGCATGCAGAAGAGAGGAATTAACAAATTTATGTACAGAAGACGTACAAGACCATGGTACATTTTTATCCATAACACTACAAAAAACAAAAACTAAAATTACTAGAACATTTACGGTAGTTGGCGAATTTTATACAATAATTAAAAAATATATGGAAAGAAGGCCAAATAATTCAAAAACAAACAGATTTTTTTTAAAATATAGAGCAGGGAGATGTGTTTTACAGCCACTTGGCATTAACAAGATTGGTAGTGTACCTCAGGAAATAGCCAAATATCTTAAACTAGAAAATCCTGAGCTGTATACAGGACATACATTTAGGAGATCATCCGCCACGATACTTGTTGACGCGGGAGGAGATATTACGGATTTGAAAAGACACGGTGGGTGGAAATCGAATACAGTTGCGGAAGGGTATATTGAAGAATCGATTTCAAATAAAAAAGCGATCGGCCATCGCATTGAAAGCGCAATACCCTCAAGGTCAATGAGTTCAAAGCGTTTAAAGCTCGATGGAAATATAATAACTGAATCAATAGTAAATAATGAAGAAACAAATATGTCTAGAGAGAATAACACGGATGAAAATAATATAAATATTCTTAATGTTGAACAAAATGAAAATTCTGATTTATTAAAAAATATGGACATAAATGTGACCGATTTAGATAATTTAAAAAACGTTCAATTTATTAATTGTAATGTTACGATTAATATTAATAATAATAAAAAAATGTGAAATATAAATTTGTAACAAGACTTTCAAATTATCATTTTTCCATTCGGGGGGGCTTCGCCCCCCCGAACCCCCCCTTCCGCGCCCGAGCACTCCCCTTCCCCGTCCTCGCGACACCGCTTTACGCACTTCGTAGGAAAAATAGTATACGATACGCGTGCCCTGCGTAGGTGTACTCACACTCGCTCTTTTGGCGCCCTCGCTTCGCTCGGGCGCCAAACTCCGCTCGTGCGCGAATCACCTACTTTGCGCACTTGTATCGTAATGTACTATTACTGAAGTTCCAATTACACTTTATATTTTGTTAATGTGAAAGGGCGTCTCTGGATTAAACGATCAACCTTCATCAGTTATTCTATTAATAGAAATAAGAATATGTTATATAAACATAGACCTGTAAATGCTTTATTTTCGATAAAAATTCGAAGTCTAACGATTAGATTATTATTACTAAACTTACCAACAATTTTTATACATAAATGTTCCATATTTATATTTTTTACATTTGAGTACAATTCAGTGATGGCGTTCGTACTTTAGTTTGGTACGAGTTTAAATAATAATTACAACTTTAGCAATGTGACCTAACAAATTTTGTTCTTTCTTTAATTTCCTACAAAAAAATAAAAAATTTATGATTGGTCATTTGACCGGCGCATAGTAAGTTCAGTGTTATACAATATTGAATATTGTAGTATCGTAGTTTTAGGGAACCTTAGTTTTAAGAATCGTATGTAGAGAGTTTCGCAGTCCGTTATAAGGGCAAGCGGCCGATGTGTCATCAACGGTTCCAAGAGCGAGATGGGAAAGGGACGAGAGAACGATTGGGAGAGATCGAGCAGGTCAGAGCGTGTCGAGCGCAGGGTTCTCATAATTTATCCCGCACGGCTCGCTTCCCCTCTTTTTCGCCCGTATTTCGATCCCCACTACTATTCTCCTCATGCGCCTTCGCTGACCATGCCTAGCATACCTCCATCAAGTACCAGTCCCCACCATGGTCGCGTCGCCCCCACTTTCCGGCCGAGGGATAAATTATGAGAACCCTGGTCGAGCGCAGAGATACCAGGTTGAGGACGGGAGCCACCGAGCTTGGAGCACACGGATACAGTGCAATAGTGTGCGTAAGTGGAGGGGCAGATTCTCGGTGACTCCCGTCCTCAACTTGGCATCTCTGGTCGACCGTACTGTGAGTCTGTGAGAGTTCGTACAAAGAAAGCTTACTTTTAAGACAATTTTTCACAGTTTATTGTCTATTAGTATGTTATCTACCGTCTATTTCTAAATAAAACTATTACAATATGAAAGGACTATAGGTACAAGGTAATTTATTATTGTTAATTTTTGTACATAAGAATATATTTCAAAAGCTCGTGTATGCATTTTTTGCTTTGAATAAAAGTTGCGAACGTGTGTGTATGCCAGATTTCCGGTAATCTAGTTTCAATTGAAGCGCAACATGGCGCGTTTCATAGATTTTCCGAAGGTACAAATCCCCTAATATTTAATAAAGCTTGTACTCTGCGTTCTACCAATCACATGCAAATTTGAGGATTCATTCGAGATAGACTCATTACTTTATTCAATACAGTTCTTAAAATAACCGTGAAAATTAAGTTAGGTTAGGTTAGGTTGTACGATTTATGGCACGGAGTTTACCTGCGTACGATGTCTCTACGGCTACAGCAAAGGACAATACAGACGCCGACAGTTGGTAGCTGCCAATCGCGGAAGTAACGAGTGTTTAATACGTGGAGTATGTTGTAAATATGATGTCGTAGTCCCGGAGGGTTACAGAAAATGTACTACTTTCCGATTAAAAATATCTGTATTTGTAGACTCAAAGAATTCGACTACTCTCCGTGGTTCTCATAGGAATCTGACTTTCGGGGGTGTTCGGTTTAGGGTAAGCGCGGAAAAATCTGGTGGGGAAAAACATAGGGAGAGGAAAAATGGCAAGAAAGAACAAGGAAGTGAGTTTTTCGGTTGGAGGGGCCTTGGGACCCAAGGATAAGCTGTTTCACGATAGAAAGGAGTTTGACAGAAAATGACCGTTGCAGGGTTGGAATGGTTAACAGATGTTGAGGATAAGGTGCAGAGGAAAACTTAATGACAGGAAAAGAGAAAGTTTGGAAAGTATCTAACAATGACAAAGACTCGAAGGTTGGGTTTCTTTCAAGGATGCTAAACACATTTTCACTAATGAATTTGGCCATCGGTTGGAGAACGGATAAGTAGGCACCGAGTTGTGCACCTCAACTCAACGATGGAGCCCGAAAAACCCAATAGAAACTATTACGAGATGATCCAGTGTTCGCCTAATGTGTCGGGAACGCGGATATGATTATCCGCCGATGCCGATACAAAGAGCGTCAGCCCGAACGGGTCGCGCCCTTCGCGCATCGTATAGTTCACGCGCCACGCGGACAGTGAATATGCAGTGAAGTTCATTTTGTGAATGAAAAACAATCGGCTCCTTTCGGAGACGTTCAATGTTACTGTGCAGGAACAACAGTGTAAGTGTTTGAAAATTTTTAAGTGAAGCGTGACAGTGGTGTAATGAGGTTAAGTTGGTGTATAAAAATCAATCGGCTCCTTTGAAAGACGTGTATTGATAGAACGTAGAAGCAACAATCTCAGTGTGTTAAAATGTTTAAGTGTAGAGTGACAGTGATCGTGCAGGGTTCCTTCCTTGGACAGAAGATCAACTGTGGCCTACCTGCGAGCGGCAAAGACGCTGACCCATTGACCGTGACCCATCGTGAGTAGTTGCACTTGCGAATGAATGAGTAAGTCTAATCTCTACAGTTTTCGCATTTTCTTTTAAATTCAATATTTCCTGCGACTTGTTAAATCCTCATTTATCCTATCATCATCCACCAATTATGAACAATCTATCATTTCATCCCCATCCATTCTACGTGAATAACAATTAAGTATATTCATTGTTATTCATAATAACACACGAACAACAATTTCCTTGTATTGTTATTCATGTAGTTTATTAAACGCTTCGTACTGAGCGGAGCGCTTGTTCAGAAGCGTGAAAGGCCGGGCGGCCGGATCCGAGCCAACGCTCCCGAGTCGGAGCCCGCGTCAACCGAGCGCTCTGATTGGTCCATGTTTTTCGTTAATAACTCGGTAACCAAGCCTCATTCTGCATTTTGCCAAAGGAAATTATTGTTCAGGAAGACCCTCCCAATCTGCCATTTTCGGCTGTTACATCCTTTACGGAACACCCTGCATATTTAGATGAGATGCTTAGGTGGATACGAAATTCTTTATGGTGTGTGTAATATAAATCTTTCGATTATCCAAACTAAATAGAATTAGTTTGTATGATCAAGGTTCTATTATATTGTATAGAATAAAAGAAAATCTATAATATATAATATTATATAGAATAATGAAACTCTGTGATATATTGTATACAATTTTCTAGATCCGACGTAGGAACTACGTTATTGCTGGACTGTTTTTAAGTCGCAGTTTGTCTTACGAAGATTCTCGCCAGGGTAGAGAAATTGCATTAAGAGCAACGGCGGTCATGACGATTAAATTTGCCAGGAACAAAAAGAAAAGAAACAACCACAGGAGCAACTCGGCGAACCAGCCAGCCAGCCAGCCGGTTAGCCAGCTCGCGAAGAAAGCAAATTACCTACCCAACCTTATTCTTAAGGGAATGTTCCCTATGATGAAAACAATTTAGCGAAGTACTGTACCGGAATTGCCAATAATTCGATTGATTGTTGTATTTGGAAAGAGATGACACAATAAAATAGGCAGTAAAGGCTAAATATAATATACAGTATATTCAATATTCATTATACTCTCTATAAATATGGCACTATGATATAATATAGTATCGATAGTGGAAATATAATATATTGATTAAATAATTCAAAGAAATTATAGAAATGTTGTGATTATTAAATAAGGCACATAATTACTAGAAGTAAAAATAATGACTTTAGCTCACCCACAAATGAAAGAAATGCTGTAGTATTCTCGCGAACGATTCAGCTACCACAACCGATAACTGACAACTGAATACTGAGCTTCGAGCAGCAGTAAAACACGATCACGCTTGCAAAATCAGTAGTGCCAAAACTTTACACTGTTCCTAATTGCTCCAGTTAACAAAAGAACGCTGACACTTCTCACACTCGACTGCTTGTTGTCATTAGTACCGATATTATCGATGTGCGTCGAACTACATGCTTCAACAAAAACGAAAAATAGTTCTGTGTATATTTTTTCTATTAAAATCTGTAGATGTTTATGCAAAATAAAATATTTGTGTTGTCAATTTAAATAAATGAAATTTAGTTTGAAAATCTTTTGTTGTTTTTTAGAAATAATGATGTGTACTATACATTTTATGTTGTTCAGAGTTTTGTATTCTTTATAAACATCTAATTTTTCAGTAAATACACAAAATTCGCAGTCTTATTATAATTTATGGAAATAACTATACAGCTTGTTTGTGCATTTTAATTTGCC